CTACGTTGTACTTACCCTTTACTGGCTTGAGCTCGAAATCATACTGATCTATCTCTGCGGACCACCTAGTCAACTTAGGTGTCATTTTGGCCTGAGTCTTCAACCATCTAAGGGTCTCATGGTCAGAATACACTTTGAAGTGTCTCCCAAGTAGGTAATGTTTCCAATGGTCTAGAACCTGCCTGAGAACGTAGAGTTCTCTCTCGTACGTTGAGGTAGCGACCTTCGCAGAGGGCATCCTCGCTGACATAAACTTTACGAGTCTATAGCCATTGCCGTCGTCTTGCTGCAACACGGCGCCTATTCCATACCGATTGACGTCCGTGGTGACGACAAATGGCAAGGACGGGTCTGTTACTTTGAGGACAGGATACTCTATTAACGCGCATTTTAACTTCTTGAGCGCAGACGTACAGTCTTTGTCCCATTGCCAGATTGCCTCTTTCTTAAGCAACCTGCGCAGGGAAGCGGCGATAGTGGAGAAGTTCCTTACGAACTTCCTATAGTAGTTAGCTAAGCCTAGGAACGACCGCAACTCTGTCAATGTGAGGGGCGTCGGCCAATCTCTAATTGCCGCTACCTTACTGTCCTCTGACTTAATGCCATCTCCGTCCAACACGTGGCCCAAGTACAAGACTTGTGTCTTGGCCCACTCACACTTCTTTGCGTTGATCTTGAAGTTAGCCTCTCGTAGTTTCTCCAAGACCTGCCTCACATGACCCTGGTGCTCCTGGAGGGTCCTACTGAAAACTAATATATCATCTAAATAGACTAGTACTACAAACTTGTCTAACCATGGTCTGAACAGATCGTTCATACAATGCTGAAATGTGGCTGGCGCGTTGGTCAGTCCAAAGGGCATCACTATAAACTCATAGTGCCCATATCTAGTACGGAATGCAGTCTTGTACTGATCATCAGGATGGACTTCTATCTGATGGTATCCGGACTTCAGGTCTATCTTAGAGAATTATTTGCAACCCTGCACCCGATCTAGGAGATCGTCTATCCTGGGCAGCGGCTCAACATTCTTCACAGTAATCGCATTTAAACCCCTATAGTCTATACACATACGAAGCTCTCCTTCCTTCTTTGGGACAAACAAAACTGGTGCTTCAAAAGGAGACGAACTGGGCCTGATCCAACCTTTCTCAAGGAGCTCGTCTAACTGCTTGCGAAGCTCCTCTAACTCTCTATGGGACATCCTGTAAACTGCACCCTTAGGAGTTCTACTGCCAGGCTCTATCTCTATCCTATGCTGGATGGGTCGCGGCACCACTCCTGTCGTCGACTCAGTCAAATCTTTGAACTCTTTTAGCAGCTTCGCAATCGTTGGATCTGTGGAACTACAGGTCTAACATAAAATACAAAGACCTGGTCCTCTAACTGCTCTTTTTTCACTAGTCGCGCGAACGCGGGAGCCATGAGACAGCAATGTGCCAAGGTGTTGTCTACACCTGACACATGAAACAGGCATGCAGTCTTAACCTCGCCTGACGGGCTAGGGAGCCTACACTCATGCTCTCTCAAATGGAGTGTGGCCCCTGCTGCCTCTCCCCAATCCATTCCCAATACTACGTCGAAAGGAAGGTCATCCTGTACGAGGAGAGTCAGGGAATGGAGAACTTTCTCCACCTTCCCATCCTTCTCTGGGCGAAAGTACGCCCGGACTCCCTCTACATAATCCTCCACACGCATTGTGCGGTTGTCTGCGAGGACACTGACTATGGGGTCTGCCAATTTCCGGAATTTTAGTCCTAGCCTCAACTTTTCAGCGCTCTACGGGTAATATAACTGCGGGTGGCCCCCGAGTCTATAAGGGCCCCTACTCTACTCCTGAAAACTTCTACATCTAAAAAAATCAGTTGTCCTTTACTCTCTTTCTTCATCTTGGCCCAGCCTGGCATCCTCTTCTTTAACTCTTCTGCCACACCTGTGAGGGACGTGCCTAAAGAGACGCTAACACAGGCAGTCTCTGGACAACTAGCTAGGCACGGACCTGCAACTTTTGCCATAGGCTCATGTGGGTTGGGAGTGTCCTGTTCGCGCGCTCTCACTTCGCCACATGGCCTTAAAGTAGGGGCAGTTGCGACCCCTACTGGCGGCTGCCTTTTGAATGCAGGGCAGCCCAACGGGCCTGTCTGTACTGTGGACAATATTTAATTACGTGGGCCGGGTCACCACAAAACACGCACTGACCCAAGTTCACGCGTTCTTGCCATACGCGCTGGTCCAAGCCCAAATCTTCCCAGGGCCTGCCCTGTGGCAAGCCTGGGTGCCATCCTCCTTGAGGTGCCCTTCCACCTCGTCGCTGTGGGAACCGATTAGAACCTTGGCGATTTGGTGGGGGACCTTGACCCCTACCTCCCACTTGGCGGTTCCCTTGTTCGCCAACCCCCTGTGCGCCCGGTCCTCGGCCTCCCATGGCCTGGCCCCTTTGGCCCTGGCCTCCTCCTCTACCTTGCGGCCTCCCTCCACCCGTGACAGCAGCATAGGACCTCCCCTGTCCCATGCTACTATCCTCTTCCTCTAGGCCCCACTCAATCTGACTATATGAGACCTCGTCAGTACCATCTTCTTCTAAAGTAAAGATCATGTGATCCTTGGCCCTCACTTGGCCCGAGATGGCAGAGCTGGACACCGGGCGCCCAAAGCGGCACCCACCTGCACGGTCTGCACCCACCCGACCCACAGGGTGATGGGTCGGATTTAGGTCTATATGAGCTGTCTTGGGTGGGTTATGGGCTGGCGCAGCCAGCAGACCTTTCTGGGTGACGGGCGGGTGAAGATTTGACCTGGGTCACCCTCTGGGTGGGTGGCAGGCGGGTGATGGCTTGGCCTGGGTCACCCGACCCATAGACTCAGGATGACCCGAAAATTATGCTCCCTCTCCCCCCCCCCCTCTCCCTCCTTATGTAGTACGTCGGGCTTGAGGTTGAGAGCCAAGGAAAAAAGTGTCTGATTCAGTTGACCAGGTCCCGATGAAGTAACGCCGGTGCGAAAACAATGCAGCTGCCCCTGGGCAAAAAAAAAAAATCTTGAAATATTTTCCTTTGAGAAGTTCGAGTCGCATTGTTGATGAAATGGTTTGCACGTTTCGGCAGTCACAGATACGGGCCCTAGAGTTCAATCCCCAGACCTCACTTTGCCCATGTACAGTATCGAGTCGACCCCTGAGTGTTTGAACCCGTGATCTGTGTTTTGGTAGTTGTTTGTCGTCTGTCGTAGGTCCGTGTAGCGTGGTAGGGTTTGATCTGTAGGTCTGTCGATTAGGAGTCACAACTCTGTAAAGGTCGTGGTTGTAGATGCTCTGAAAGGTCAAGGTCGTAGCTACTACAGTCCTGAAAGGTAAAGGTCGTAGCTGCTACAGTACCCGAAAGGCCAAGTCCACAACCTTCTGGAAGGTCCGGAAGTGGCTTTTCGAAGTGTCCCACGTTTAGTCAGAGGCAAGTGGGCAAGTGGTGGGCCTTTAGTCAGAGGCAAGTGGGCAAGTGGTGAGCCAACTGTGTTACGTCGGCAGTGCGACTGCATTGAGTTGGCAGTGCAAACCCATGCAGTCAGCGGCACCAGTCCCAGTCAGTCAGAGTCCAGTCAAGCAAGTACCGTGTGGGACTGTGTGCACCAAGGGCCTGGAAAAGGGGCAAACCAGCGAGTTACAGAAGTATAAATCAAGAGGCAGCGCCCAGCCATTCATTCATTCGCTGCGTAAGCCATGCTGAAGCGCTGCCACAATGTCTTGTGCGAAGGTGGTCTGCAGGTTGCCCGACGACGAAGTGGGCTGAAGGGAGATCGTTGTCATAGTAGTAGTGGCGAGCTGCCATAGCCGCCGTAGGGTAGAGGTACCTGATAGAGTGTCCGTGTGTGGAGTATTCAGGGTGATCCAGAGTGAGCATGTGCAAGTAGTGGTGTCGGACACAGTGACGAGAGTGGGATGTACAGGCGCTGGTGCGCCATAGCCTGTTGAAGTGAATTTGCAACTGAACTGTGTTCTCGTTGTCCATATTTTGAGCTTTGAGTGGGCGCTCTGCGCCCGCGCGAATCGCCGTTTGTTTGCATGTATGCGAAGTGGAAAAGAAGATGAGTCTGATTACATTGATGTTGCCGTTGTTGTAATTATAGGATTTTAGATGCCTTTGTTGCAATGCTATGTTGCCGATGAAATCGTGATGGTGTAAGGGACTGGCATGGGCAGGCACGGGCTGATGCAGGTGGGTGCGGGTGAAGAAAATTTAGGTATTGGACGCGGGTGGGTGATGATACTCTTACTGGTGCGGGCGGGTGTGGGTGAGGGCTTTTTTCGGGTCACGGGTGGATCGGGCGTGGGGCTGAAATATAAAAAAAAATATTTTGGGTTGGTGGGGTTGCCTAAGAGTAAAAAATAAAATTCTTGGGCCGGGTGAATGGGGAAAAAAAAAATTGGGCGGGCTGGGTCGAGGGTGAGGGAAAAAAAAAATTGCCCACCTCTGCGAGATGGTACGGCCTTTCCACCTTTTCCCCTTATCTAAGTCCTTGTGCCAGAAGGTGGTAACTGACATGGACTTTGACTCATACAGGATGACTTCTCTACTCAATGCATCATAAGTGATGCCGGCCTGTTGAGATTTGTCAAAGAAATGCCCACGCATGGCCTCTGGCATGGCACGATAAAACAACTGGACCAATTGGGTCTCAGTGCCCCCATGGTCTGGGACGGCTACCAAGTCGTCCATGGTGCCCTTGAGTGCTCTCGCACTCCTCCACTGTCGCGAGTGGATCGTTTGTAGCTTATCAGAGGCGCGAACGCCTCTCGTTGGGTCTGCAAATCGCTCCTTCAGGAGCTTAAAGAATTGAGGAAGGGGGGTGACTCTTGAATATGTAACCAGGTTGTTTTCACAACCGGCTGCGCGCGCAAGGGACCTAGCAAAACTAACCGCTTCATCCTTAAGGGCCTGGAAGGCCACGAGGACTTGTTCCTCTGACAGGATGTGTTGTAGATATATGTTACAGTAACTATTGACACTAGTCTCCCAGCTGTCAAAGCTCTCCTCCTTCTTCCCCCCGTATGCGTTTGGGAACTTGAGTTTTACAGGCTCTTTACGGGGTCTGACCTCGCCCTCTAAGCGGCTATTGCTTTGGCACCTTCAATGGCACCCTCACAAAACTTCCCCACGTTATCCCTCAGTTGCCTGACTTCGCCCCCAATTTGGGTGACGATATCGCGCGCAAAGTCTCTAAACCCCGACCGCATGGCACTCAGGGCTACCTCTTGGCTCCAACTAGCTTGACGCTCCTCCATCCAGGCTGTACTCAACACCTCTAGGTAGCCCAACACCTCATCCCACTTGGCCTTGTCATCTGGCTGGGCCAACACTTCCTTCCTACACTCCTGCACCTTTGTCACCCCTGCGGTCAGTTTGTTCACTTCTCCTCTCCTCCTCTTCTTCTCTCTCTTCATCCTTAACTTCCACGCCAACTTCTGCTCCTCCTCCCTTTCTCGCCGTTCCATAGGATCTGTCATTGCTGCTAGCTCACTGGCTAGCGCATCCCTTTCATCTTGAGTCACATGAGACTCTGGCTCCTCGTCTTCTCCCGACGATAAATTAGCGACCCACTCACTTATCCTTTTCTCCATCTCTACATATGTACCCCTGTTCATCATGCCACTACTCCCTTCTCCACTCTCAATCCGCATTCTCTTTTTTTCTTCTTCTGCTGCTACTTCTGCTTCAGCAGCCTTTCTCCTCTCTTCCTCCTCCTGTTGCACCCTCTTTATCTCCTCCTCCAATCTCTTCATCTTTGCCGCCTGTTCCTCTGCGATAGCCTTTAGCTTCGCCTGCTTCTCAAGCTCCTTTCTCTCCTTGTTTTCTTTCACTAAGGCGGCCATCTTCGCTTGCTGCTCAGGCGTGTAGGGGTGAGTATCTTTCCCACTACGGGTCTCAACCATGGTGATTAGTGTACAACCGGATTAGTGGCTCCTAACCTCACCACGTAAACTCTGACCCTCGACTGACAAACCTACAGACTCAATCTAAGGACTTACAAAATCCTGACAAGGATCCTGCCAACTATGGTCTCTATCCTAGACCTAACTATGGCTCTCACTACTAGACCTGTTGCTGATCAGGAGGCATTTAAGGAGATCCCCCGAACTCCTCAGGAATTATTTAACGTCGCAGACAGGACGACGCGATCAGTAGGTCTCTTAAGACTTAGACGGTCTGTTGTGCAGCTCACAACTCGGATTTCGAGGCCTACCGTGCCACACCGAGCAACCCGCCGGTCAGTACCGGTCCTTGGGAGGGTTTGACCTCCGGGACAGTTGAGTCATCAGACACAGCTTTTAACCCTACTCATCCCGAGTGGGTTTGGTCAACAAGACCCTATCCTTCATCCACAAAGTACTATCACCTAGGACAGAAGAGACTCGATGCAGAAAGAATAGACAGACAGACTGGACTCAGCAAGTACCAAGGGGTGTGTGCACATCCATA